CCTCAGGCACCCACAGCATCAAGGACCCATTACCTCCCAGTAGTATGGTCATCTGGGGACCAATCTCCAACACGTGAGCCTTTGGGGGCCATTTAAGATCCAAGCCATATCATCTGTCATCTTAGGTATACAAACCTCAGCAGCAATCTTTCACTATAAATATTACCCTTTTTCCTCACTTGATTCAGATTTTTTAATGGGCCTTTTAACCTTCTTTGGCATTTTCAGGTTTGTAAATAGCTGTCTCTATGACTTCATCTGGGGTGATTAAAGGTGTCATTTCCTCTACTACTATTCCTGCCATGCCTGAATGATCTTTAAAAATAGGGGTCTGTACATAATTACTCCAGTCAAAAATCCACCATCACCAATACAAAAACACAGAAGCCCAGTGTCCTACAAGAGTCTACATGAGATGCTCCTGCCTCCCTCTTCATAAAACATCTTTTCCTCCTCAAAACATGTTTACATGTCATTATCATGGACCATACGTCCACGTACAATATTAATTGAGCATTGTTAAAATGGAGTCTAATGTTTAAGAGAGAAGAAAAGTAAACAGAGGACATACAAAAAAAAAGGCGACAGAGTGTTTTAATCACGAGTCAGGACACTAATAAAATAAACACTAATCAGCTATCCAAAGACCAACATTCCTAATATATGACAAAAGAAATACTCATAACATTACTCTCAAATACAAGTCACTGCACATGGTCCTCTCCAATGTCCTCAGTAATCTTCTTTCTCTATGCCCAACAATGGATTTCACAAGACTGTTCCTCACAGTACATTTTGTAGCAGCTGATGCCTCTATACAAGTTTTTAGCAAGAAATGTCACCCATTCCTGAGAGGTGAAAATATGAGGAGTCAACCCAGGAATAAAGCATTGATCAGGCATGAATGCATGAGCATTGTGAACTCCATGGGAGAGCTTCCCTTTGGGAGAGAAAGGTCTCATCCCACCAAGTACTTCTTTAAACTAATGACAGCCTCTCAAAAAGAGATGCGTTGTGTGTGGAAAAACTAAAAGTGTAAATAAGGTTCATGTGGTGTGATTGAGAGGATGAAATAGGAAGAAAATTACTCAAGAGGAAGTGGGAAGGGGAGGGGAAAGGAATTAAGAGCAAAGAAAAAGTGTGAAAAAATGAGAAAATGGAAACAAAGTCTTTGTAAATAGGGAAGGGTGATGGTGATGAAGGGAGAGCAGGGGTATGGGTCAAAAACAAGAACCAAGGTCTGCCCTGTAGAGGTACAAGATCACAATGATAAATCTAACTGTATGATTTGCTTTAAATGTACCAATAAACTTAATGGGAAAAAAAGATATGTTTTGTGTCTGGTTGTTCTCATCTTCCTGAATTGCTTTAATACAGTGTGATTTGGGTTGTGTATTCACTGCTTTCTTTTTACTATGTCACAGTGTGAGACACCGATAACCTTAAGGAAGAAGTTTAATTTTGCTCACATTTTCAGCTCATATTCAGTCTGCTCCAAGGCAGAAAGGGCATGGTGGGGAGGGGTCTGAGACAGAGGAAAGCTGCTCACACCATGGCCACCAGAAAGAGAGAGACGAAAGTGGAGCCAAGGAGGGAGACATACCCTTCAGGTCACAAATCCAGTGAACTGACCTCAAACGCAGCCCTGCCTTTTAAAATCAAGCCCGCTGTACTGCCTCATAACCCAATCACCTTCTGAGCTCATGAACCTTTGGGAGGACATTCCAAGTCCAATCCACAACAGGCTAGGGCCAGGGATTTAGCTCTGTGGTTCTGCCACCTGCCTCACAAGCACAAGGACCCGAATTTGATGGCTGGTACAAAAAAAAAAAAAACACAGACTGTAAAAGCAATGCCTTCTAAAATGTTAAAGATAGGATTTATTTCTGGATTGAAATAACAAAGGCTATCCAATGGGCTTCTTTTGAACTTGCAAAGCTGCAGGTATCTGCAGAGTCCTGCCTGGACAGCCAGCCAACCCCCTCTCACAGTTCTTCTCTAACCAGACGCTGGAACTTTATGTATACTGCACCTTTAACCTTGAGGACAGAAGGTGCGACATCATAGGAAGACCTTTATGTGCAGTGGTATGTGATCCCTATATCCAACTTTATGGAAAGGTACTCAGGACTCACATGACCCTGAAAACTGTGCCTGTTTACTTCATTGATTCACAAAGAAACTCTGTCTCACAATTGAGGAAGATGAACAGAGGAGACTGAGTCCAGAAAAAAGTAACATCATGAACGGGGAGCGAGGGGCAATGCATATCTTGCAAAACAAGATGATCCCAAAGGTATTTAACTAGGAAGACACAAAAATATCTTTCTATTTTGGTTACCTCACTCATGGGAACCTAATTGCTCAGAGAATAGAGTAACAATGAGATAATTAATTTAATGAGCTTTCATTAGAATGTAATTTCTGAGGCTCTGAAAACATAGTAAGTGCACCTCCATCATCCACCCAGCTAGCTCTACTGTGTCAGGAAAGACTGAGATCCACTGTACACCGCAGGGACTTATGTCTGATGCCACTTCCCTGTCAAACTTGGAGCTGAGTTAGTTGAACCCAACTCACCCAAAGAACAGAGGATCATCAGGAACTCCTGGTGTGGGCAGCAGGTATGGAAGCAAGTAGATCTATCAAAAGATGATAAATAAGACCAATGCAATGAGAGTCCATGAAAGGAATTCTAAGCCATTAGTTTCTGCATGCCCTCTCCGTCTCTCTTCCTCTCAGCTTCTCAGATTGCTTCCTCTTGCTTCTGGAGCTCTCTACCTCCCTAACAGACACTGACCTTCCCTTAGCATCAGCATCTCCTAAGTGTTTTTTAGCCAACATCTTGTCGTTTTTCTTAAGCTATTACAAGTGCCTTCATTTTCTCCACCCAAAATGTCAAACGTCTGTCACTCTTATGCATTTCTTTTATGGATATTTAACACGCTCCGTCTTTTCCACAGCAAAGCATTGGTCTATATAATTTACCGTGCAGGCTTTGTAAATCAGTTATTAACCTCTATCACCAAACACATCATTCTTGCGTTCTGATGTTCTCCAACAAATCTTTTCATTGATAATTTCTTAGTTTATAACTCCCATTATTGACCTTTATTTTCCTTATTTCTACCCAAAACCTTTTCTCAGGAATTACTGGTACTTTCAAAGAATATGTTGCCAAATTTAAGTATATACTATTTATTTCTTCATGTTTCCTTTAGAGAGTTGATGTACTGTCTTATTCTATATCTAATGTTTCAAAATTATTTGCATTATAGATCAGTATAACATTTTTCTAAATATTTAACTAATCATTAAACATTTATTCATAGCTTTTCAAATTGCCTGTAAAGTACAAGGAAACAAAAAATAAAGTTCTAGGAAATAAAGAATATAAGTTAATATGATTTTTAATTTCATATTTACCATGATAGTGGGGCTTATATTACATTACAAAACTCCAGGGTTATCCTCTTTGAAAGTAAAAAAGAAAAATAGGAATTCTGTCCCTCACTGTTACATTTTAACAAGGAACTGGAATTTTAAAACAATTCAGTAAAAACTAAAAAAAAAAAGGTGTCATAAATTAATATTATTGGAAATTTTAGGAAATTGTTAAATTAATAAAAAACACAGAAGTTAAACAAGACACTTTAATACAGAAAATCAAAACTTTTATTAATATACTAGCAATAGCGGAGGTATAATATGGAGGTGTATCGTTCTTAATTACATTAAATATAAATTACACTAAAAAATTCCTAACAAGAAATTAACATAATCTACAAGTTTAAAAAAATGCTTCAGGAAAGCATACCCAAAAGCGGATTGAAGTTTCAAGAGGGAAATATCTGTTATTGGAAAGAGCAGAGCAAAGAGGTCAACTTTTTCCTAATAAATATATAATTTTAATGGAATGTCTAATAAAATTCTAATAGTGTTTTTCTTCCAACATGACTAGACATCCTAAAATTCATCCAAAGAACAGTTTGGGGCCAGAAATAAAATAATGATAGTGTTAAAGAATACTAGGTGGATTTCACACTCAATTTTTAATTGTATTATGAAAATAAATGATGAAAAACATGAAAAAGGGTCTGAAAGTTTGTTACTACTGACATAGACAATCATTTATAATCATTTAGTAATAACAATGTGAAGAAAGAAATATAATATCTGAATTTTGAAAAAACTGATAGAGATTTTACTAATTATCTAGGAGAAAAAACATAAAATTAAATTAACCCAAAGTGTATAAATCATACATACAATGTAACAAGTAAGGAAATACCCAAAGTAGGCAAGTATAAAGAGACATTTCCATATGATGGTAACTTTGATTCTATGAGTATCATATGGTAGAAAATGTAAATTTCCATTTTATATTTAGAAAATGTAGGATATGTTACTGAAAAACTCCAGATTGTCTTGTCTCAGCTTGGGAATGTGGTAATTAAAATGGAATGGAAAAGGGAGTTATTAATGTCAGAGTTTGTTAACATTATCTACAGAAGGACTACCCAAAGAACTAACTTTGAGGCATAAGAGAAGATCGCTTAGAGATGTAGACAAACACTGAAGATTGTTTCCCAAACGTATCTATCTGTCTTTCTGCCTCTCTGTCTGTGTATGTGTGTCTGTGTGTGTGTGTGTGTGTGTGTGTGTGTGTGTGCACCACAATCCCAAGAGAGCTTGTTCGGATGCAAAATGTGAGAGCAGGTTGGTCAGGTGAACCTAAAAAGGCACATTTCCAACAAATTCTGTAAATATGCTCATATTTCTGTTCCAGAGAACACCATGTGAGAACCACTGACCCAAAGCTAATTTTTTTTTTCAGGTAGCAATGGTAACTACAAATTGTGAGCAAAGACATCCAATTAGCCAAGATGAATGACTACTTGAGTTCTGTGAATCTGAACGATAGCTATTATGGTCGTCCTGGGAAATCCCTTTAGAGAGAATTTTGTTTTTCTTTTTTCTTTCTCATGGAAGGCAGCCTCATGGAAACAAGAAATCAAACAGGAGTCACAAACTTCCTCCTCCTGGGATTCACAGATAACCCTGGCCTTCAGTCCCTCCTCTTTGGGCTGCTCCTGCACTTGTACCTGATCACCATCACAGGGAACCTGTTCATCATCCTGGCTGTCATCTCAGACTCCCACCTCCACACCCCCATGTACTTCTTCCTCTCCAACCTGTCCTTTGCTGACATCAGTTTCACCTCCACCACCGTCCCCAAAACACTAGTGAACATCCAGACTCAGAACAAAGCCATCACCTTTGCAGGCTGCGTCACACAAATATTTTTCTTCATTATGTTTGGGTGCCTGGACAATTTATTACTGACAGTGATGGCCTATGACCGCTTTGTGGCCATCTGTCACCCACTGCACTACGTGGTCATCATGACCCCACGGTTCTGCGGGCTGATGGCTTTGGGGTCCTGGTTGATGAGTTTCATGGGATCCCTGTCTGAGACTTTGACTGTTCTGACACTGTCCTTTTGTGAAAACACAGAAATCCCACACTTTTTTTGTGATCTCCCTGAAGTCCTGAAGCTTGCATGTTCTGATACCTTCACCAATAACTTAGTGGTGTATTCTGTGACCATCATCCTAGCTATTTTTCCTCTTAGTGGAATTCTTTTCTCTTATTCTCAGATTTTCTTCTCCATACTGAGAATCTCATCTGCAGGGGGCAAATACAAAGCCTTTTCCACCTGTGCATCTCACCTCTTGGTGGTCTCCTTGTTCTATGGCACAGGTCTTGGGGTTTACCTCAGCTCTGTAGCCACACCATCCTCTAAGATGAGTCTGATCGCCTCAGTGGTGTACACCATGGTCACCCCCATGCTGAATCCCTTCATCTACAGTCTGAGGAACAGGGACATGAAGGGTGCTCTGGGGAGACTCCTTGGCAAGATGGGGCTTCTCAGTGAACAGGACATAGCAGGACTCTGATGAGCAGCAATGCACACGGAGCATCAGAAAGCCTGATCCTCTTCATCCAGCACTCTGCATCCTTCTGCTTTCCCATATTTTAAAAATAAGTAATTCTTTGCATTTTAATATGTGGTCTCTTCTGCACTAGGCACTGTTCATATGTTATGCATTGGATCACCTTTTTTGCCATCTAACCTATTTTAACTTTCTATGAATACAACAGGCTTTTTCTCAGTTATCTATAGAATTGATTTGGGAATTTTATTTTTTATGTATGTCATTTAGGCATAACAATTGTACATATTGACGGAGTACAATGTGACAATGCAGTACCTGTATACAATACGTGATAATCCAATCAGAGGAATTAGCATTTCCATCTTCTGAATCATTTCTTTATTTCTTTGAATGGTGAAGCTTCTCTAGATTTTTGTTTTATTTATTTTTTATAGGAAACAGGAATGGGGATGTTATCGCAGACTCCTGCAGTGGGTCTACAGTCTCCCTTGAGGAAATACAAACACAAACTAATAATAATAAAAAGAAATAAGACTTAGAAAAAGTAAAAGAGTCAGTGACAGGAAAAGAGTACAATGATAGGAATGTCAACACCTTTCAGTAATAACTTTCAATGTAAAGGGCCTCAACTCCCCAGTTGGAAAACACAGATTGGCAGTCTAGATCAAAAAACAAAACTCAATGGTCTGCTGACTTATCTAACAGCCAAGAGACTTGTCTAAGCAAAAAAAATTCATTCAATAAAAATCAAATCATGAAAAACAGTATTCCATGGTACCCCAGAAGCAAACACAGGTAGCAATTTTATTCTCAAAGTGGACCTCAAGCTAAAACTTACCAAAAGAGGTTTAAAAAAAACAGGTTATGACACATTACTTAAGTGAACAATAAACAGGAAGACATAACAATTGTAAATATATAATACTGATTTCCACAGTGGTTGTACTAGTCTACATAACCACAAACAAGGTAGAAGGGTATTTTTTCCCAGCACCCTCATCAACTTTTGTTATTACCTGGGTTGTTTGTTTGGTTGGTTTTGGGTTTGGGGTGATAGCCACTTTTTATTAAGTAAAATGGAATTTCAAAGTTGCTTTAATTTGCATTTCTCTAACAACTAGAGACGTCAAAATTCTTTATGAATTTTTTAGTCATTTGTATTTCTTCTACTGAGAAGTGTCTATTCATTCCAGTAGCCCATTTTTTAACTGGGTCTTTTATTTGGGGGGAGGTCTAATTGTTTTAATTCTTTTTATATTAATATTACATATTAGATTCTGTCCAAGGAGTATCTGGCCCAAAAAAAATCCCATTTCAAGGGTTAATTATAAGAGAATAGGGAACAGGGAAATAGATATTTTATAAAAATGAAGAGGATCAATAGATGGAAGGAGGGGAAAGGAAAGGGAGGGGAAACAAAGAAATGAATGTGTTATGTGCAGGTACCAACTCGCCACAATAATGTAATTATTATGTACTAAAAATGTACACTAATAAAATAAGACAATGAAAAGTCGGAGTGGGAGAACTCAATACCCCACTGTCACAAAAGGGCAGATCAACAAACAAAAAATTAACAAATAAATATCAGAGTTGAATCAAACCTTCAAACAAATGGTCTTAATAGATATCAATGTTCTACCATACTACAACCGAATATGCATTTTTCATAGCAGCACATAAAACTTTCTCCAAAATAAACCACTTACTAGTTCATAAAGCCTGTTTATATAAATACAAAAGAATTAAAATTATCCCATGTAAGTTATCAGATCACAGTACACTGATACCACTGATCTTTTACAAACACATGAATATTAAGTGACACACTCCTGAATACTCAGTGGGCCACAGAAAAAACAAAGGAAGAAATTAAATGATTCCTAGAATTAAATAACATCAGCACAACATATCAGAATATATAGGACACAATGAAAGCAGTCCTAAGAGGGGATTTTTTTTTCTTTAGTACCAGGAACTGAACTCAGGACCTTGTGCTTGTCAGGCAGGCACAGTGTCACTGAGCTACATCCCC